TGTGAGCCTTGAAATTATCGATTGCGTTCGAATTATGGGGGAAAATGGGCCGACGGAAACTCGGAAGGGTCGTGCGAACTGCGGTCTTAGTGTGAATCGAAAGGCGAAACGAAAATCTAAAATAAATAATTAATGCTACTTTTACGATTTAATTTCGCGCCTTTTTATTTGTTTGGCATTTCGAATATTTTTCAAGTTTTTCCTTTTTATGTCTAGAACTCGCGAAAATTTACGAAAATATATTATTATAACGTTACACACATTACCACAGTCTTTATTTGATAAAGACAAATTGATTAAATTTTATAACTTTGTGGTTTCCAGAAATTTACAAAATCCTTCATTAAAAATAAAATATAGGATAGTTAATGTTACTGCCATCTACACGAGCAATGAGAAACTAATCGAAGTGAAGCCATCTAGTGGCCGACGCCCGTAAACATTTTTGTTGAGTGCTTTGTTGCTTGCTTATCTATAGCTTATTTATGTGTATTATCTATGACAAAGACTTGTGCGTTTCGGGACGCCCGACAGAAGTGATAACTAAAACTAATCTAAGTTGAACTATTTAATGTTGAATTTGCTTAACTTGAAAAAAAGCTTAGGGTATTACTTAAATGTTATGTATATCAATATGATAATGTATGAAAAATTGTAACATAAATTGAAAAATATATAGGTTTGTATAGATGTATCTGTAGAGACTAGAGGCCCCGCAGTAGTCGAAATTCGACTATAATTAATTGGAATTGTAAGATTATACACTATTATGATTGTATTTTATACTTCTATAATCACAAATTTTACCAAGACTACACTATAAAAAATATTAACAAAGACAAACAATATTTAATCTATTCTCAATTTGACAACAGACGTCAAGAACAAACGTTTGACAATAAATAGTATGCATGCGTGTGTGCGTCAAATACATGGTATGTAGTGTGTGTAATGTTTTCTTTATTGATTTAATGTATCTTTTATACATTATTTTAAAAAAATATTAGCATTGTGCACTTCTTCTCTATATTCTCTATAAGTGTGGAAAATTTCATACTCATCCGTCCGCGCAATTTTCGTAAAAAGGGATACAAAGTTTTTGCTTTACGTATTAATATATAGATGGATGTATAGAATTTAGCTTTACATAAGTTCTCAGTACCACTGCGCCCACTGAGTTTCTTACCGGATCTTCTCAGTAGGTTCGCGTTTCCGATCCGGCGATAGATTCTGCGAAGCACTGCTCTTGCTAGGGTCAGTTTAGTAAAACCTCCAGTTTGAGCCCCGAGAGCTCACCTACACGCTAGGGTAACTCTGAAGTAGCCTCTCAAGGCTATCAGCATAGGTAGGTAAAAAAAAGAAAGGGAAGCCATACAGACTGGCGCCGTAAAGCTTTACTTAACGAAGCGCTTTACTCTCCCATAAGAAGCTATCACTTCAACAATGTACTCGTGAAAACAATATTTTTTTTACCAAAATAATAAATCTATAAACGCTTCCGCTACCGCTTACGCACACACAAACACCCCGAAGCCCGGTGCTGACGACCAAACGGATTCCCATACAGCCGCCGGCCTGTTATTAGCTACATTCTAGTCCTACACAAATATTTATGCTATTGTAGCAACAACGGACGTGCCTTTCCGTGTGGAAACGATGCGGCGCGTTCAATGTGCTTAGTGCGAGTTTTTTAACGTTCTCGATAGCGTAAACGTTAATTCAAATTTGTATGGAGTTGGAACGTTTGCGTACGTTTGCCGCTAGGGGCGCTGTTCCAACTGCATACAAATTCAAGTTTTTACGAGAGCGTTATAAAACTCGCACTAAGCACACAGGTGTAGTTCGGGTACTGTTGTTGTCATTGATGACGTAATGGATAAAGAGGTTTTTACGAGGGTTTAGTGAACTTGTACAAGTACTCAAGTGCTTACACACGACTAAACCCAGCTCCAGTTGATATGACGTCTACGTCACCTCATCTGAAGTCTTATTAACACAGCCTAAAGCAGCCAGTACTATTGTCACTTACTTTTGTTTCCAGCCAGCAGGAATCGGATCTGGAATCTACTACTGTTTCCCCATACCTCATCATTAACGCCATATATAGTGACAGAAACCAATGATACCACACATCCGGTCATTTTTTTTTTTTATTATTATTGCTTTGATGGGTGGACTGCTTCACAGCAGAAATAGACGGGGTGGTAGTACCTACCCGTGCGGACTCACAAGAGGTCCTACCACCAGTGATTACGCAAATTATAATTGTGCGGGTTTGATTTTTATTACACGATGTTATTCCTTCACCGTGGAAGTCAATCATGAACATTTGTTAAGTACGTATTTCATTTATTGGAAAAATTGGTACCCGCCTGCGTGATTCGAACACCGGTGCATCGCTACATACGAATGCACCGGACGTCTTATCCTTTAGGCCACGACGACTTCAAAATAATTGTAGTCGAACCCGTCGCTTGCGACGAAGGCTCTGCGAGTAACTTAACCCACAGACACAGCCCACTGAGTTTCTCGCCGGATCTTTCCACTGGTCTTGCTAGGGCTAGTGTTAGCAACGTCGTCAGGTTCGAGACCCGTGAACTCATCTACTAGTTAGGTTACGCTGACATAGCCTCTCAAGGCTATAAGCTTAGGACGGAGAAAAAAAACCACACATGGACCATGTAAACAGTACAAATTTCTTTCTCTTCTTGCCCTTAACCGAGATTACGCGAGATTGACGCTGCATCTCCTCTTATTATGCAGCAGAGGGATTTGGCACGAGTTTTACGACAACCCTACTTAATTTACCCTACTACTGTATCTCCGTGTATCCATTGCAACGTACCACAGGGATTTTTAAGTTTCTTCTTTTGGCGTCTCTTTCAGTACAAGCATCGTATGATAAATAACACATACAGAGATGAGGGTATGTGGACGAATGAAATCCGACTCGCGTACGAAAGTCGAATACTAAAAAGACCTTAGCTTTAGTAGGGCTGTCAAAGAGTAGGTTTTTTTTTTTTTTATGATGTTAAAAACCGTATTATTTTTTGTTGGATAATTGTTATTATAAAGTAATAGCTGGTGCTTAAATCAGCGCGAAGCCTCAAATTTTGCTACGGAAATACGTACTTACGTATTTAGTGATTTAGGTAAAATATCGTGTAATAAAATCCACCTTGGCAGTATGTGCTATGTAAATAGAACTAGCCCTTATGCCCGGTATTCAAACAAATAACATTATTAAATTTCGTTTATAGAAACAAAAGCAAATTAATTATTTCTTGAATGCCGAATCTAAAGCCCTTATTTAGCTTAAATGTATTCTTATCACTTGTTTATGGATTATTCATCTACAAAAAATATATATAAAAATTCCACAGCATGTACATATTATGTAGGTACGCTCTGTACGGATTGTCCAGACAAACATTTGATGTGATAGTGATAACAAGTCCAATGGTTTATTGATAAGCTTATAGTAAATGATTGATGTTCATATGATACAAATGAAATAATGACTGAAAAATGAATCACTTTGATAAAAAAATGCATCCGTATGCAATATAAAGTGCGCGCTTACCCGTACACGCTCTTCAAGAAAATCGGGAACAAACAAAAAAAATATCAAAATCGATTTTCACATTTTATTTAAACATTGATTTAGATATTTATGTTATACCGAATACAACATACTACTTTTACGTAGCAACCCTATTGCGTGAAAGATAGAGAGTGTCACGAGTTTTATATCGATAGCGTTGCCTCGTAAAAATTTGTTACAGCCCGAAGAATTTATACACGAAATCGAATGATACAGACCATATTTTATCTTTAGTTTATAACCCGTTTGTCCTTCGTTTTATTGTGGATCCAGATTAGTGAGGGCCCGTCGTGGATTACGAATGCACGTATTAATCTGTACAGTATTATTTATATACGTAGGAACAGAATTTATGGATGATCATTCCCGTTCCCGCGGACCGAATGGTAAACAGTAGACGTCGCCCAAAGCACGTCATTTCGGATTTTCCCGATCCACTAATGGTGCTTTTAGGTACCTCAAGCACCGGGCATCGTTCTCGCCGAGCCCGTCGCTTGCAACGAAGAGCTCGACGAGTAAATTAACCCATATACACAGCAGATACAGCACACTGAGTTTCTCGCCGGATCTTTTCGGTGGGTCGCGTTTCCGATCCGATGGTAGATTCTGTGAAGCACTGCTAGAGCCAGTGCTAGCAGCACCTCCGATTTGAGCCCCGATAGCTCACCTACACGCTAGGGTAACGCTGATATAACCTCTCAAGGCTATCAGCATAGGTAGGAAATAAAAAAAAGCTCTTCTTGTTCAGCGCAAACTAGATAAGGCCATGTACATCTTTTTTTAATTTTTTTATTGCTAGATGGGTGAACGAGCTCACAGCTCACCTGCGGTTAAGTGGTTACTAGAGCCCATAGACATCTACGACGTAAATGCGCCACCCACCTTGAGATATAAGTTCTAAGGTATCAAGTATAGTTACAACGGCTGTCCCACCCTTCAAACCGAAACGCATTACTGCTTCACGGCAGAAATAAGCAGGGTGGTGGTACCTACCCGCGTGGGCTTATAAGAGGTCCTACCACCAGTAGATCCCATAGTCGCATAGTAAAAAGGGCGATATAATTCTACACCATTTTTATTGACCAATCCACGCTTCGGACTGGCTCATACTATTGTCGTGGCGCCCAATGATTTTCTCGCCGGATCTTCTCGGTGGGTCGCGTTTCCGATCCGGTGGTAGATTCTGCCAAGCACTGCTCTTGCTAGGGTCAGTGTTAGCAAAACTCCGGTTTGAGCCCCGTGAGCTCACCTACACACGTTACGGTGAAGCTGAAATAGCCTCTCAAGGCTATCAGAATAGGTAGGAAAAATTCTCGTGGCAGGCATTGATCAAGAGCTTACGAGTGGCACACTTTCCCCTTCACCGGTCCTCGGCTCAATGATTGTTCTATTACAGAAACAAGCGATGCTGGTACGTCAACTGGAAGAAGAGCTGAGGATGAGGATAAGGCAGCCAGCTCCTGAACTCCAACAACAGCTGGAGGCACTGTACGCTGAGAACGAACACCTGCAAAGGGAGATAGCGATATTAAGAGACACTATCAAAGTAAGATAGCTATTTCTTTCTATTCTATTCTATCAGCCCATGGACGTCCACTGCTGGACATAGGCCTCCCCCAAGCCTCGCCACAAAGACCGGTCCTGCGCTGCCTGCATCTAGCGGATACCCGCGAACCTCAATAGGTCGTCGGTCCACCTTGTGGGAGGCCTACCCACAATATATAGCTATAGCAGTTAACAATTATAAAGTAAATAATAGTTTAATAAAACTAACAAAATACGCTTTTATAGAAAATCCAACTGAAAAATAGAAAATAAATTGTAATAAATTTTAATTGAAAATAGTCTAAGAAAAAAAGATTTTGTTGTAAAAAAAGCGTGGGCTGCATGGTATAAGTAGTTATAAATATTTTATGAACAGATATGAGTAGAAGGGGTATTTTGATAATATCCTGAAAAGCACCCCACGCTTTTTTTACAATTAAAGAATTTTTTCTTACACTATTTTTAATTCAAATTTATTTTCAATTTTTTAGTTCGATTTTCTATAAAAGCGTATTTTGTTAGTTTTATTAAACTATTATTTATTTTTCATTTTTTAGTTGAATTTCATTGTTTTGAATTTTTATTTTTAATTGAATTGTCATCCTAAGTATACCAAATTTCGAGTTAAACCGACGTTTTGAAGGGAGTTAAAATCATGTTCAAAGATTCCGTTACATACTAACATACATACGTCTGAAGCTAATAAAAGAGTATTAAAAATAAGGCATCGCGGGAATGCCGCTAATGCAATCCTATCATGAGAATTTCCATAGTGTGATTCATGTTTTTGTTGAATTCCATGATATATACCGCTACAATTTCAAATTGCTACAACTGTCCCGTCAATACCCATTCCGAATGAAACTTGCATACCTGTCTTACGGATAGAAGAACATCATTATACAATCATCTTCTTGTCGGTAGTTCCGTCATTATTTTGAGCCCATAGACATCTATAACTTAAATGCGCCACCCACCCTGAAATATAAGTTCCAAGGTCTCAAGTATAGTTACAACGGCTGCCCCACCTTTCAAACCGAAACGCATTACTGCTTCACGGCAGAAATAGGCAGGGTGGTGGTACCTACCCGCGCGGAGTCATAAGAGGTCCTACCACCAGTAATTACGCAAATTATATTTTTGCGGGTTTGATTTTTATTACACGATGTTATTCCTTCACTGTGGAAGTCAATCGTGAACATTTGTTGAGTACGTATTTCATTAGAAAAATTGGTACCCGCCTGAGATTCGAACACCGGTGCATCGCCCAACACGAGTGCACCGGACTTCTTATCCCTTAGGCTACGACAACTTCAAAAACTAGTACCTACCCGCGCGGATTCACAAGAGGTCCTGCCACCAATAATACCACCAGTAATTTCTTCGCTCACTCCCCTCTTACACATATCGTCTTTCACGCAATCCAACCATTTTTTCTTACTACCTCTTCCTCTAAATTTAAGACTATACAGAGCGTAATTTGGAGCCAAAGAACGTCTGAAAAGTGCACTAGAACATAAGACTGTAGGTGTTTAGGATACATTAGGTAAGTTCATTAATATAGGGAGCGATTGATCTGTCAAAACTGTTTCCTTTTCTGTAGGAATTGGAACTGCGAATCGAAACACAGAAGCAAACGCTGCAAGCTAGAGACGAGAGCATCAAAAAACTACTCGAAATGCTCCAGAACAAAGGCATGGGTATGCTTTTTGGTATTTCTTTTCAAACTTCATTCCCGAATCCAAACGACGTAACTACAATTCGTATACATTTCAGGTAAAGAGGAAGAACGTCAGATGTTCCAACAGATGCAGGCGATGGCCCAGAAACAGGTGAATATTGATTTGCTTTTTATCGCATGTACGCATAGTAAAATTTCTAATGCTTTCAAATGTTCCATTAGAAATTTCACTATGTTTATGAGCTTCTGAATGGAGTCGTATTAAAATGCACGTCATCGCTTCCCTATACGTATTTATGTATATGTGTATGATATGTATACTCAGCATTGTAACGTGGGCGTTTTATTTTGTGATACCTTCATCATCGTCACTGTGTCTGTTAGCCGTATTTAGTTTACTTTCATTCATTTCCTAAGCCGATGTCTTTTAGTGTCGCGACACGTGTTCCGTGACGGACTCTAAATACCGCCTACACTCATCTCTCGCTTGTCACCGTCGCGAACTATCGCCTCTTCTATCTTCACTTGTATCCCGAGCACTGCTCCGTTTACTTTCTCAGCTCCAACCAGCCACGACACGACGTCCACTCCCACCGCAACCCTTGCTCCAACAACAATCCACATATCGAACCGATTTCTCAGATTCCGCCCGTACACGAAGGAAGTTTTACAATATCGACACGAACACGATAAATCACGACATTGCATGTTTAGCAGCTCATTTTGTCCCCGTCACACGAAACTTAGAGGATGTCTGTCTCGATTTAATTAAATCATTGGAGATCATGTCGAGCATTCATAGCTTAGAGAACAAAATTGTTTTGTGGCCGCCTCGCTGTGGGGCTGCGGGCTCTCGTGGCGGTCGCGCAGCCCCAGCGAGGCGCGGCGGGACGCGTACCGTAGACAGCCGCGGGCGGCGGCGGCGGCTGACCGTCTCGCGTGCTGGCAGGAGCTCAAGGCGACGGCGGACACGCTGCGGGCGCTGCAGGCCCAGCTGGAGCGCGCGTTGGCCGCGGCGGGCCTGCCGGGGGGCAGCGCGGGCGCCACGCTCACCGCCGTGCTCGAGACCAAGGAAGCGCGCATCGCGACCCTCGAGCGGCAGGTCGCGTTGCTCGAGAGCGAGCTGGCCGCGCTCGTGTCGCCGCCGCCGCCCTCCTCCCACGCCTCGCTATACGATAAGGCCGACCCTCCCTTCAAGAGACAAGTAAGTTTTCTGCTGAACGACGTGCGGGTGATGAAGGACGGGCGCACCAGCGCGCCGCCGGCGAGGCTGCGGCCGGCGCTGCGGCCCCCGCCCCGCGCGCCGCCCTACTCTAGCGCCACCACTCTGTGACTCCGCCTCGTCGATCGACCTCTACCGTGTCAATTTATCGCTTTAAGTCCGAACTTAGCCGAAGTCGCCGACTGTGTTGGATCCTTATATTTTTATGTGAACTTGTTCGTTGTTAAAGCTACATATTTTTATTAAATCTAGAGACGTATTATATATTTGAAAGATGTCAAAGAACTATTTTTGTTAATTAGGGCTTTAGAGAGAAAGAAAGAGAGAGAGAGATAACGTTTTAGAATTAGATGTAATCTGTACGATAGGTGAGACGTGTGAGATCGAGAGCGGTAGACGCGGAACTTGAGTATATAAGATAGACTGACAAAGACTGTCGCAGCTTGAGGTCATGTACCGAACTGGCCGAGTGCATTACGATTTCCATGATCGCTTTATGATTTATTGATCATGTCGCTGCTTTCGGTGTTGATCACCTCATACCGGCGGCGGCTTGGTGCCGCGTCATACGTCATCTACATCTAGAGTAGATCTCATCACGACCCGACCTCTCCATTTAGCAGTCACACGCCCATCAGTCTGTCTCACAGTAACGATAGATAAATGTATCACAACGTATGCGCCCGTGCATTCTCCAACATGTGTTCTATCGGATCATCCTACGTTAGTGCGTGCGATACTGGGAAACTTTCTTGTTGCTCAACGAAGCTAACTAATATTTAACTAGTTTATAGTGTTGAAAGTTTTCCAGCTATTATTTAATATAACTAAAATGTCCATTAGTGTATTGACGATGGGTTGTTTTTTATATATGACGACGCTTACATTGGACTGAAATGTTAGCATGTCGAATTTATATTAACGATAGTCTCGTTAGCTATTATCGAAATGTCTTCCTCGGCACTGTTAATATTATATATATATATGTCGTGTGTTCAATCATAGTGCTGGAAACATTTCGTTGTAATCTAAATATATAAACTATAGAATATTAACACAAGCTTACGTGGTTCAAATATCGTTACTAAACACATTAAAACTACTAACATGTGTGTGTGTGATAATGTATTATCGATTTCAATATAATCGAGTAGTTTTTGGGTTACATCAGAATCATTTCCGCCATCACTGTTGCCTAAGTAGATAGTTTTTTTTTTCTTCTATAAATGTTTTTTGAGGAACGTGGTGGTTTTTGATTTAAATCTTCGTTCTACTAATCATGTTTGGATTTTATTCAATTTTTACATCGACTTTGGGACGGATGGAATATTACGCAGCTGGACGAATTCCGGTTGGAGATACAGAGACGGGACCAGGAGATCCTGGCGATGGCCGCGAAGATGAAGGCTCTGGAGGAACAGCATCAGGATTACCAGCGCCACATTGCGGTTCTCAAGGAATCGCTATGTGCTAAAGAGGAGCACTATAGTATGCTTCAGACAGACGTGAGTAATCGAAATTGTTAACATCGAAAATCGATCTTAAGTTCTTTATTTTACATGCGATTTTATCATGTATTTATTAACGGGTCGATGCCATTCTATTTTTTAAGCAAATCTGTACCTAATAATTGTTCATTAAGTCTGTTAGCTCTAATGGAGAATATACATGAAACCAATGAGTGGCGACAGTAACAGAGTCGCTTAACTGCACCATAAACGAGCTTAGGAATAAACCAAAGCGCTGACGAAGCAGATGAAAGGGCGCTCTTAGGTTTAGCGTTAGCCTGCCACAGAAGAACCTTTACTCTGAGTCAGTACTTTGTCAACGACGCCAGTCACTGGATCAATTTAAATTTGTTGTAACCGTCGATAATGGAATATATTTAATCCTCTCTTTGTGGCACATGTGGAGAGTTCGTTATTGTGAAATTTAAAATATCTAACAAAACGTTACTTGGAAAAACTATATCTATATATTAATACGTGAAGCAAAAACTTTTTATCCCTTTTTAAGAAAATTGCACGGATGGAGGAGTATGAAATTTTGCACACTTATAGAGAATATAGGGAAGAAGTGCACAATGCTAATATTTTTTAAAAATAATGCATATGAGATACACACTACATACCATGTATTTGACGCACACACGCATGTATACTATTTATTGTCATGCTTTTGTTCTTGACGTCTGTTGTCAAAGTGAGAATTGATGAAATATTGTTCGTCTTTGTTAATATTTTTTATTGTGTAGTCTTGGCGAAATTTGTGATTATAGAAGTATAAAATACAATCATAATAGTGTACAAACTTACAATTCCAATTAATTATAGTCGAATTTCGACTACTGCGGGACTTCTATATAAAGGAACTACATAAAATTTGAATGGTGAAATTATTAAAAATAAATGAACAAGCAGTTTAGTTAAAGTATCAGATGCTAATTGCATAAGCCAAATCAAAAACCTACTATGCCACGATAAAGAATAATAAATAAGATAGATTCTCGAAAATACTAATTTTTTTTTTGTTTCTTGCCCCTACCTATGCTGATGATAGCCTTGAGAGGTATTTCAGTTTCTCCTTGACGTGTAGGTGAGCTCACGGGGCTCAAACCGGGAGTGTTGCTAACACTGGTTCCAGCAAGAGCAGTGCTTCGTAGAATCTACCACCGGATCGGAAACGCGACCCACTGAGAAGATCCGGCGAGAAACTCAGCGGGCTGTGTCTGTGGGTTAAGAATAATTGTGCATACGCGTGTTTGCAGCGTTATATGTGAACATTCTTCCCGGAACTTCCGATCCGGTGGTAGATTCAGCGAAGCACTGCTCTTGCTAGGGCTAGTGTTAGCAAATTCTCTCAGGTTGAGCCCGTGAGCTCATCTACCCGTCCCCGAGAATCTGGAATAGCCCCAAGCTATCAGCGAATGGGTAGAGAAAATGTGAACGTAGAGATAGTCTGCGTACAAATAAAGTCATCTTCAACATCATCGTGAAGAAAATTGTAAATTGTATTTATTTCTTCAAAACACCTCATTGCTACCATTGTTTCTTGCGATCCAATGGGTCACTGTTGGAGTAAGCTAATCAAATCGTTCAAAGATACTTACATTCGGATAATATTTAAATGTATCAGGATTTTTTCTTGTAATATTATTTTTTTGGGTAAAAGAGAATGTGTAATGGATATTTGGGATGAAAATTGGCATTCTGAATACAAAATTGAAATAATCGAAATTAAATCATGCCGAAATTTTGGGAAACTTATCGATCCATAAATCGTATTCGCTAGGTGGAAGAATTGAAAGCAAGACTGGATGAGAAGAGTAGAATGGTCGAGAAGAAAACCGCCGCGACTCTGGCCGCGGCTCATGAGCTGGCCGAACTGAGAGACCATTCCGAAATCAAAGACCGAAAGATCAACGTGCTCCAACGAAAGGTTTGTTACAGGAATCGCGCTGCTTGAAACCTTTATGAAATCTTTGAGTAAGCAAGGAATAGTGCTAAATTTGTTGAACTCATTCGCGACGGACATTCTGTTTTAATATAACCTCTTAGATGTATATTCGTCTCTTTCATACATTAAGTCAAATGGATGTTACGAATTCCGCCCGACGGAGAAGTCTAGAGCTTTCTTGCGAGGAAGATGCGAAAGAGGATATAGCATATCGTTCCATACTTACAGTGTCCACCAGAAATCAATTGTAAGCTGTGCAAAAGGTAGTTGACTGATTTTGATAATAATACTAAAATCAAAAGACTGATTGATTTTAAATTATATTTTTTTAAATCCAACTGATTTATGACAAAGTTTTTTTTTTAGGTTGATACTCTGTTGCGTATTTTTTTATTCTACTAGACAAACATTAGTATGGAACTTCTGTCGTGCTATTGATAATTGACTTCAATGTACAAAATAGCGCGTTCTCTTTATAATGTGAAGCTAAACACTCATAGGTGCCTTGTTTCTGTACAAGTGTTTACTATAAATTCACAGATTCATTGTAGCTGAGATTAGTTTTATACAAAACCCTAAAATATTCTCAGCTAATCCGTTGGATGTATTTGAATAAGTCCTCTTAATTGAAACAAAAAATATAAATGGGATTACTTCAGCTGTATCAGGTAAAGTAGGAACACACGTAGCAGCCATTATATTATAGAATTGAAACATAGAACTCATGTCTTCAGGTGGGTGTGGCGACATTAACATTGGTAATGACAATGGATTTCGATAACGATTCACTCGTCTAAGCAATAAAAAAAAACAGGGGACCAAATAAAACAACATAGTTAAAATCGAAAAGCTTATACTTTTTATACTCAAAAATTTCATAATAGGCATGAGCAATGTGGATTTCAATTTCAATATCTTCGATGCATTTGAAAGAAAAAAAATTATAATTGTTTTAGAACTAGTAAAGATAACGTAAGACTTGAAATTTGTTTTGTGTATATATATGTAACAGTAGCTTTTTTTTAAGTATTATACTTATTTCTCACTGCATTTATTTTGTAATATATAATATATTTCCCAATACAACTTTACCCAAGTTTTATTTCGATATAAATAATCATATTCAATGAAATTTCGAATAGTAATTTAGCCAACATAATTCGGTTAAATTTTGAATGATTCAAATTCAAATAGAGATGTTCTTAATAATTCGGATGGCACCCCCCAAAGGCCAATCAATATCCCGACTCATTCATCTCAATAAATATCATAATATGAAAACAAATTTTGTTTGGAACTAATTACAAACAATTTTAAGCAAATAAGTTCTCTAAAAACTACATTAGTTAAGAACTAAAATACAATATAGCTTCCAGCGTCAATGATGACGTATCACATATCAGCAATAGTCACATAAAAGCACTAAGATGGCGTGTCGCGTACAGAAAATGCACATTTTTACACTTAAATTGCATTATTACATCAAATAGAAACTATTATCCTCAATGAGCAAAAAACTTATCAAACCAAATGAGCTAAAAACAAACAAAGAACAAATCATCGTCTAAGATTTCACTTGTCCTAATCTCGCTGATTCAACATGACTTATCGAATCGATATTGTAGCTTCGTTTGTTTTTAAATTTTACAATCCAAACGAGGTCAACTCACCTTAAAGAAGAAGGCCTTGTATTAAAAAAATAACAATACGATTGAATGGCAGAGTCAAATAGGAATACACCGGATGGGAAACTCTTGTTAGGTACATTGTTTATCCTGAAGATCAACCGACATAAAAATACTGGGATGTTGCTAGTATATTTGATGGTATTTAGTTGTGCCAATACCGGACTCACCAACATTACAGGGCAGACCAGATAAATAGTTGAATGAATCCTAAAGTTACCCTATTAAATTATACGACCAACGTTGGCCAAATGGTTGCTGTACTCTTATTATGCTATGCGCCAGATTTCGATTATTGATCCGAGTTGTTTTTGCTCATTTGTTATAAACATTTAAGTATTCGGGATTTCGGTAGGGCTTACCGGACAACTACTAAAGCCGTTGATTTTGAAATATTGCCAATTTTTTTTATGTTTTTTCCCATAATCGCGAAATTCGGAAGATCCCACTGGGTCTACTTTAGAACTGAAATACAAAGATCCATTTCCCCAAGGGCTACGAGTTATTAATTATTCAATGCACATGTCCACTGCGTAAATTAATGAAATCTCCCCGGATACGTGCCCCAAAAGGTCCAGCTTAAAATGAAACATAAATTTTGGGTAGATATATATACGCACCTTCCAAAGATAACCTGTTTCATTTACAACCAACCTAATTACCTTTATCTTGTAAGTCATTTATATTCCTTTTGTAGTCTCGTCCTACCCGGGATTTTGTTTTCAATTCTATTTCTATCTTGTTAATTGAATCGGCTTGTGGTAGATCGATTTATTGTGATGTACGCTAGTTGTTTTTTTTAAGGTATGTATTTATTATTTTGGTTTTCTTTATTTATTGTTTTTTATGCTTGATATGATTTTTACTCAACTATTATTTCAGTGTTTGGTTATTAAAGTTATTAATCAAAACTTACACAGAATATATGGTTATTAAATAATTAAATTGCAGATTGAGAATCTAGAAGATCTACTGAAGGAAAAAGATAACCAAGTTGACATGGCCAGAGCTAGATTGAATGCAATGCAAGCGCACCATTGTTCTTCCGAAGGAGCACTATCTTCCCTCGAAGAAGTTATAGGAGACAAAGAAAAACAGATTCAACAACTCAGAGAGCAGAGAGACAGAGCCGAGCATGAGAAGAATGAAGAGAGAGAACTCCACGAAAGAGAAATAGCGGAATACAAAATGAAATTGCACGCTTTAGAGAGCGAAGTAGAAAAGCTCGGCGCAAGACTAGAAAGAGCTCAGGCAGAAAAAGATAGACTCGAAGCTAAGCTGGAAAGCTCACAATCTGAACTTGGCAAATCTAAAGCTGAGTTAGATAAAGCTGCAAGTGAAGTGGGACGTTCTGGTGCGGACTGGGAAGCTGCTAAGCAACGTCTGGCAAGGCTCGAACTGGAAAATGAAAGACTCAAACATGAATTGGAAAGGTCTCAAACAACTTTCGGAAGAAGTACCCTATCTACTTCTCAAGAACTTGATCGGATGCAGGAAAAAGCTGATAAAACATCAGCAGAATTGAGACGTACTCTGGCCGAATTGAGAGTGACTCAGGCTGATGCCGAAAGAGCCAGATCTGAAGCTAGCGGCTTGCAAGACAAATTGGAAAAATCGCAGGGCGAAGTGTACCGTTTGAAGGCGAAGTTGGAAAATGCACAAACTGAACAGGATAGTCTGAAAGAGGAATACGACCGGTAAGTTCTTTAGAATCATTTCTAATTACAATGACCTTAGTATTCAATTATTAAACGTTAAATCAAAATCTAGCCGAATTAATTACACATAATTTGTTTTAGCTATGTTAAAATAGTGCCTTTTTATCCGACGATACCATAATTTGTCGTAAACCATAAATATTAGATAACATGAAGTAATTCCAACAAATTTGGGCACTGGAATTTTCGTGCGACTATATAAAAAGAGTAGCTAGCATGATTATGTCTTAATTACTAATAAGATTTAAAACCTTTATAGCCTCCAGTCTTCGATCAGCCGTCTCCATTCAGAAAGAGATAAGGCTATAGCAGAACTAGACAAAGCAAGAGAAGAACTTGAACGTACTCAAGCTACACTTGGCAAAGCACAACTCCAACAAGACAAGCTGCAAGCTTCTCTAGACACAGCTCACTCTGAGATCGACAAGCTACAGGAGAAACTCGATAAATCTGCTGTTGAAGTTAGAAAAGTAAGTTATTCGATGTATTCTAAAATTCGAATCTCAAATCATCTTCTCTCTTCCATTATAGATGAGAATGTGCAGTGTGACCTGTTGTTTACTAATGATTACTCGTCACTAATCGTCACTAATGATCAGATAAAATTTTAGCTATAAATACACCTAGAATATTTGTTTTTTTGATGTCGCACTGTAGATATATTTAGTAATTGAAATTTATTTTTATTTTTATGAGAAACGGTATAAAGTTTCAAGGAACTTACCCAAAGAAAGGATTTATGGGTTAGGAAAGTAAAGTTGGTAAAGTCATAGAAATTAAAACGTTCGTAATTTAGATCTCAAATTGAGGCCGTCAGCGCAAATCGTCTTCTCGCATTAAAGCTGTATAATCTCAAAACTTACTAATTTTACAGGAGATCGTTTTAAAGGTTTAACATGTGATATTTTTAATATTAATCATCTTTGCAACATTTATTTTTTATTTTTTACCAATTACAATATCTGTCTATTAAAGTAAAATAAAATTATGTATAAATTTTGGTAACAGTAGTCAAATAATAGGCAAACTAAAAAAAAGCTAAACTACGCTCTTTTGACAGTATTTATGAGAAAAATACTGGTGATACCAAATGATTCCGCATATTAACTCAATTTCGAATATTTTAGGAAATTATACACTTTTAATACGAAAAGACGAAATGTGGTCTAAGCATACCATAGTTAATATGGATATCATGAGATATCATTTTAATTTCACACTGCTTCGTAGGCAAAAACAATACGCGCGAAAATAATGTTTACAAAGGCGTCTGTTATCCATGGGTGAAACTAGGGATAGGCCAGTTTTGCATTAAAACTTGTTGTGTTTTGAATAAATTGCAATACATAAATCCGAATATGAAAAATTGTGGGCTAGGCCAATTTTGCGCTCACCGCCTCAATTGTAGTCATAGTTCGCTTTAGATCATCGTAACACTCACAAGTTGTAGATGCAGCTACAACTACGAATTCCAATAAACACAAATTTTGCTTGTAAGTCAAACCATCCGGCTAAAATCATTGAGAATTAGTATAAATGTAGCATTTATCCTCTAGCATGGTTTCAAACCATAACCAATCAACTAGAAACCTATCACGTGCTATCATGACGGTTTACACAAGAAAACCAATTGCCAAAAACCATGTAACACTGTTTCTTAATCATATTTCGTTCACAGTTCACATTAATACCGCACAAGGGACATAAAAAGAAAAAGGTCGTAAGAGTTCAATTGTAATGAAGCCTCGAGCTTTGAGCTTTGTTTCCGTGGAGCTTTCAAACAGAGCTGTCAATGCTTAGTGCAGTCCTACTAACTATAAACATTAGTCGAAAAAGTTATGATTACAAAATTTCCAACAATTCATTTTTATCATCTATAAGATAGATTTTTAGTTCCTTCTGGTGACTAATAATCTCGAAAGCAATCTTGATAGTTATTGTGATCAATATTTAGGCCAGCTATTACCACACGGACTCGCTTAAAATTTGACATCTCTATTTCAAAGTGGTTCAGGCTATTCGCAAATTAAAAATTGTCTTGAAATTATCATTTAAGCATTGATGTAGTCTGGTCCGGTGCTTTAATTCAACAAATAATAGCTTCCATATTGTTATTTGTGCTGTGAAAATATCCACGTGCTATTTATTACCATTAAACATTCAACTGTCGGCAGGTCACTAATTATGTATCATCGACTTTAAAAATCCACTTTCATAAACTGTTATTTTAATAATCAAATACCGTGAAGTGAATTAAGCATAACTAATGTTTTGGATATGAAAAAATATGGTTTTCATTTGAATAAATAAATGATTATCCATTCGTTTCAATAGAATCAGATATAGCTTTGTTTATTTCGTGAATCGCACAAGTCACAAAACTATTTGCCTGTCCAACCGAATAGAACGGACATTAGGAGAATAGATAGTCAAATCTAAATCTGTGCGAAATTATAATGCCCTTATTGTTCCCATTAGCTTCAAGTGGATAGAGAGAAACAGGCGTACGATTTCGAGTCCCTGCAGTCACAGTTGGACAAAGCACTGGGTCAAGCGGCCAGACTTCAGAAGGAGCGGGACACGGCACAGCTTGACGCGGACAGATTCCGCGATAAGAATGAAAAAGCTCAGGTATATAGTCGCGGTGAACTTATTGGCTTTGTCTGGGTGGTGCAGCAGTTAGCGCCTCAGATTGTTTGCGCAGAGGGTCGTGGGTTCGATTCCCACATCGGCCAAACGTTCGTCGTTTGCTTTTTATCTGTGTGTTTATTATCTATATATGTACATATTTAAACGTATAGAAGTATGTATGTAATTCTCTGGTACCCATAACACAGGGAATCCTAATTTGGGTCCGATGACCGTGTGTAATTTGTTGCCAATTATTTATTGTTATCATAACATCACAAAGTCCCTCAGTTCTGGATTCGTTTTTTATTTTTCTAAGAAAATATGTGCTAAGTATTCACAAACGACCTGCGCGACTGAGGAACGTCTTTTTGAAAGAAAATCAATTTGTCTATGTCTACTTCTGAATCAGTAGTGCTCACGCATTCCGTCTCGAAGGCTGGGATAGTCGTTATACAATTATATTGATACTACGACGTCCTATCACAAGGTGAGGAATCTAGTAACCGATCAGCATTAGAGGGGAGTTGGGGGGAGGGGCGTGAATTACCCTGAGACACTCAACGATCACTACAGACAATAAATTTAAAACAACATCATATTACAACAACAACGGCAAACATTTCCGACATATAATACATAATACTGGTGATTACTGGTGGTAGGACCTCTTGTGGTACCACCACCCTGCCTATTTCTGCCGTGAAGCAGTAATGCGTTTCGGCTTGAAGGGTGGGGCAGCCGTTGTAACTATACTGAGACCTTAGAACTTATATCTCAAGGTGGGTGGCGCATTTACGTTGTCTATGGGCTTCAGTAACCACTTAACACCAGGTGGGCTGTGAGCTCGTCCACCCATCTATGCAATAAAAATAAAAAAATCAATTCGTAAGCAAATAATAATGTCAATTTACATAATTGAAACAAAATTTCAGTCAATCTCCGCCAAAAGAAATCCGTAGTGTAAGATCGTTATGCAAATTCTTCAGCAGCAACTCATTAGGGTCGTAACAGACTTCAGACCGTCGAATTAATGAATAATTCGTTCGGTGATTACCTCCTAGCAATGATATAGCTGGATAACGATAATTTTATGACACGCTGATTTTTATCACTTTCATTACGTTAATAAAAACGATAAGTTAATGAAAAAAATAGTTTTTTTTTTTCTAAGGTATGTTGCAGACAAATTTCGCGCATAGTAAATCTAGTTTTACAGTTTTCTTTCAAACAGATAGACCCTATGAATTTGTTTTTGAAATTTGCATGATTTTATCTATACTAATATTATAAAGAGGAAAGATTTGTTTGTTTGTTTGTTTCGAATAGGCTCCGAAACTACTGGACCGATTTGAAAAATTCTTTTTCCTTTAGAAGCTGACATTGTCCCTGATGAACATAGGCTACTTTTTTTAAAAAAAATTTTTTATTTTTTTTTGGTTTCATGTGTGTTTTAATGTTTCCGAAGCGAAGCGAGGGCGGGTCGCTAGTATTTTAATATACAGATTGATATTTATTTCTCTTTTGTTCATTCCGTGCGAAGGCTAAAGGGCCCCCCTGAAAACTACCCTGAATTCGTCAACTGTTATTTTAGGATAATCATCCTGGTCACTGATCCGTCTATTCTACTGGTGGTAGAGTGAGCCCTCACTTGTACCACCACGCCCCGTATTTCTGCCGTGAAACATTAATGCGTTTGATTTAAGATAAGGTTCAAATCGAACCGCTTAAATTATTTCATTCACACAACAGTAATTTTTGGGACTCATCTGAAAGCCTGGTATTCGTGGACACGAAACTCCACGTCAATCGAACCGGTCGTGGAGAGTAGCCATCATACAACGCAAGATATTTGACAGATGCCTAAATCTCGCTTACGACATTTTCAAGATAAGCTTGCTATACAAGTTCCGAACGACAACATCTGGACCCTCAGACACAGCCCACTGAGTTTCTCGCCGAATCTTCTCAGTGGGTCGAGTTTCCGATCCGGTGGTAGATTCTGCGAAGCACGGCTCTTGCCTCGGTTTCTCTGGTTCGTGTTAACAACGTCCTCAGGTCCTCAGGTTCGAGCGCCGTGAGCTCACCTACTAGTTAAGGTTCCGCTAAAATAGCCTCTCAAGGCTATCAGCTTAGGTAGAAAAAAAAAAAAAAAACCAACATTCGGAGCGTCGGTCTACCGAGCAAATATCACCCGCTCGGTGGAAGATCTTCTCTTTATCGTTTAAAAATCCCATTCCCGGTAGATCTTAAAATTTAGTTAGATATCAAGAGTTAGAGCTCATCCTCCTCAAACCGCAACTTGTATAAAAAATGCTAGATCATAAATTTAATTAACAAAACCCGTCTTTCATGAAAGCCTATCAAATATTAGCGATCCAAACGTCTAGACAACGAGACGCCATGTCTACGAAATACTTATGCCTCTTGAGACTCTGCCAATACCTTAAAGGTTAGTAATTCCTGATGTAAACGCATTTGTTTTGGCATGTCTCGTCGCGATATTAAGCTCTTTTAAGGCAATTAAAAAGAACACATCAAACTTATAATTCCACTCACATTCACATAAATAAAAGACCTAAACTTCTGTATAAAATAAACTTAAAACAAACAAAAGGAATCCTTCGGACGGGGGACACATCAAAGGAAAAACAAAATTATTACTTTTATTTAATTCCGAGCATTGTCGTATTTATTTACATTTTAAACCTTCTCTGGACTTCCACAAATAATTCAAGACCAAAATTAGCCAACTTGGTCCAGCCGCTCTCGAGTTTTAGTGAGGCTAACGAACAGCAATTCATTTTTATATATAGAGAAGATATAGATTTAGGTAAAGTAATAATTGAACTTAATTTAATTAGCGACTGGCATTGCTGATTTCCATGAGCGAAGGTAATCACCTGATAGATATACTCCTCTACCAATAAAAGCAATTTAAAAAACTTAAATATAAATTAGAGGGTAGGAAACAAAAAAACAGCTAGCTCTAAAGTGAATGACATACATTAGGATCATAGTCGGTTACGTCGTAACCCGAAAATCTGGATAAAAACGACAAACGAAAGCTAAAATCTCCGAAGCGTTTTCTCTCAGTAAAATATATAAAAACCAGACATGTTTACGGCCAATAAAACGTACAGTTATATAGCTTTGACACGAAACTTTCGTGAAAGGCTACGAGAATTTTCCAAAGCTTTATCGCGTTCTGTAATCCGTGTAGTAGTTTTTATTTTCCTACCTCTGCTGATACCTCTACCTCTGCTCTGAGCCTTGAGAGGCTATTTCAGCTTCGCCTTAACGTGTAGGTGAGCTCACGGGACTCAAACCGGAGTGTTGCTAACACTGGCCCTAGCAAGAGCAGTGCTTCGGAGAATCTACCACCGGATCGGAGACGCGATCCACTGAGAAGATCCGGTAATAAACTCAGTGGGTAGTAGTACTCTTTGTTATACTGAACGTAGGAAAAACGAGGTATTTAAACAATACTTTTACATTACATTTGAATTATATTTGAAGTCGCCGTGGCCTAAAAGATAAGACTCGCGGTTTTGTTGTATCGAGCGATGCAACTATATCAGGGTTCAAATCCCGCAGGCAGTTTGCATAGCATCAAAAGTTATAATTTGCGTAAATACTATACAATTTTAGACGTAGACCTCAAATAACAAAGCTGGTGGCGTTTTCATGAAGTTTATGGGTTCTGATACTCACTTAACATCATAAGGGCAGTTAGTTCACCCGCGCAGGTAACAAAAAGTATAGGAAAAAGATAAATTTAACAGAATTGTGAATGTGCAATTGTGAATTAACAGATAATACGAGAAATTACGACTGCATCGTCAGTGACGTAAATTCGAGATAAATTCTAAATTTCCTTGATTTTATTGTATAAATGGGTGGACGAGCTCACAACCCGCCTGGTGTTAAGTGGTTACCGGAGCCCATAGACATCTACAACGTAAATACCGCCCCCACCTTGAGATATAAGTTCTAAGGTCTCAGTATAGTTACAACGGCTACCCCACCCTTTAAACCGAACAAGAAGAAGAAATGCAAACATTTTTTTAAACCGAAACCGTAATTTAAGGGAATAAGTTAAACAAAATTCCTATTTCAAATGAAAAAAAAAACGAAAACAATTACTTAAATGAAATTTTCGATTCAATGTTTTCTCATTATTTTTGTTTCAGAACTTAGTTACTCGTATACAAAAGGAGAGGGATACAGCATTGGCGGAGGCTGCCAGTTGCCGAGAAAGGGCTGAAGCCGCAGCGGCCGCTGCGAACAGGGCCGCCAGGGACAGAGATAGCGCTGTGACCGAACTGGACGTGCTCAGAGAACGATGGGAGAAAGCGCATCAGCAACATCAAAAATTGACGGTAATGCAATTTGGGGGTAGGACCTCTTGTGAGTCCGCACGGCTAGGTACCACCACCCCGCCTATTTCTGCCGTAAAGCGTTTCAGTTTGAAGGGTGGGGCAGCCGTTGTAACTATACTGAGATCTTAGAGCTTATATCTCAAGGTGGGTGGCGCATTTACGTTGTAGATATCTATGGGCTCCAGTAACTGCTTAACACCGGGTGGGCTGTGAGCTCGTCTACTCGTCTAGGCAATAAAAAAAACGCAAATACGACTTGTGCTTGTGACATGTGATGTGTTTTCTAATCTCTTTATCGCTTACATAGTTAACCTGGTGTTGAATGGTAACCGAAGTCAGAAGACATCAACAGCGTAAATCTTAGCTAGAGACTTCAGTGCTAAGTTTCATTTTTGTATTACAACTTTATTACTGGTGGTAGGACCTCTTGTGAGTCCGCGCGGGTAGGTACCACCTCCCTGCCTATTTCAGCCGTGAAGCAGTAATGCGTTTCGGTTTGAAGGGTGGGGCAGCCGTTGTGACTATACTGAGACCTTAGAACTTATATCTCAAGGTGCGTGGCGCATTTACGTTGTAGGTGTCTATGGGCTCCAGTAACCACTTAACATCAGGTGGGCTGTGAGCTCGTCCGCTCATCTAAGCAATAAAAAAAAAAATATTACAACAGTCGCGCTCTTCAAACTGTAACGCTTAACTGCTTAACTGTAACGCTTAACTGCTATCTTACTACTGATAAACGAACTGCTGATGTAATGTGGAAATTGCCGTGTCATCTTTTAGCTACATTGGTATCAAATTTAATGATACTCAGGGCAATAAAATTAATCAATAATTAATATATAATTAAAAGCATTCCATAGTTACATTATTAATCGCCGGCCAAGACAGTCGACTTTAAGTCGATGGTTTAATATTGATATCCAACCAACAGACTTGGAACGAAAGTTCACACAATTAATTTCATTGATTCCTATTTAAATATTGGTCTGATCAGCTCCGCTATTCTTTGCAGATGGAACGAGATGATGCTCTAACAGAACTCGAGATATTGAAAGAGAAACTGGACAAAGCTCTTTACTCCACACAAAAGACGATTGAAGAGAAAGAAACAGCGCACAAGGAATATGAGAAAATGCTCGAGAAATACGATAGGTACTCATTATAATTACTTTAGGTTAAACTTTTTAGTTTAAAGTTGAACACTTGCTTGAATAACGTACCCTCTATTGTCTTAGGTCGCAGAACGAAATATATAGACTGCAAAACAAGATCGAGATTTTGGAGGCGGATAAGGACAGACTAGAATTGGAGTTAGAGAAACAAGCACATTTGTCGACAAAGTCCAGAGATGACCAGAGGAAACTACAAGATGAATTATCGAGATTACAGGAAATGTACGACAGAGCATCGTTGCAGCTGGGTAGAACCAAAGAATTCGAAGAAAAGGCCAAGGAAGATATGGACAGGATGAGCGTTGACATAGAAATGGTCAGGGAACGATATGAAAAGGGTCAAATTGAACTGCGGAGAGTCCAAGCGGAAAAAGAAAAACTACTGGCAGATAGCGAACGATTACAATTTGAATACGACAGAGCGATGACTCAATGCGGTAAAGCACAGGCTTCCAATGAAAAAACTCAAGAAGAGATGGCCAGAGTACAGATAGAGCTGGAGAAAATGTATGACAAACATGACAAGGTTTCTTCAGAATTAAGAAGAGTGCAAGCTGAATTGGACAAAGTCAAGCAAGATGCAAGCGGAGCCAGAGAAGAAGCAGAAAGATACGCCGCTCGGTACGGAAAATATCATGACGCAAAAGAGGAACACGAGAGAACAAAAATCGAAGTAGAACGGCTGCGGACACGTCTAGAGAAGACAACGATAGACCTGGAGCGAGCCCGCAAGGCTGAAGAGGAAGTATCCCGGTTACGTTCGGAACTCGAACGCGTCGAAGGTCTCCGAGGTAAATACCAATTCGAACAGGATAAGTGGACCAATGAATTAAATAGAATGCAGGCGGAAATCGACAAACATCGTGAGAGATACGACGCGGCACAAGCTGATGTTCAAAAACTACAGGCCGAGAAGGAACAAGCTGAGACCAAACTACACGAAATGAACATACAACTGGAACTATCCAAGAGCGAAGTCGTAAAATTGAGTGGAGCGTTAGAGAAACAGCGAACAGACTTGGAGCGCGCTCACATTGAGTGCGAAAAGTTCAGGGATCGGTGTGAGAAATTGAAATTACGTTCAGACCAACTAGATAAAGATAACGAAAGACTAAAAGGCGAGTTACAACAGATCGAAAGGATGAAACTTCAGGCGGTCGCTGGTGATAAGGCAAGAACCGAAGATAGACTTGAAATCGAGAGGCTTCGTGATAAGTTGGAAAAAGCAATTCAAGCTCGTGACTCTACTGAAATGGAGGCAGGACGCTTAGCAAAGGAACTCGAAAAGTCTCAGATGCATCTCGCTAAATATCAAGAAACTAACGAAACAACTCGCGTTGAATATGATAGGATGACGAATGAACTGGGAAGAATGCATGAACGACTTGAAAGAACGATCTTAGAAATGAGACAAATCGAACAGGAACGCGATGCGCTGAGAGTAGAGATACAGAACACAAGACGTAACATTGAACAGCAACAGAGAACTTTGGACCACAGAACTCAGGAGACGCTTGTTAAACTCCAACAAGAATTGGCTCAGTCAGTTAGAGACAGAGAAAAGATGGCATCCATTTTGGAACAGAGAGATAAACAAGCCGACGCTATCGAAAAGCAGATCGTCAAATTGGAGGCTGATACAAAGCAATTGACAATAGAACGTGACCAATTAGTGGCACAATTAGAAAAATCCCAAGACATGCTCGTAAACTTCCAGAGAGAACTCAATGCTTCCGAAGCCGAACTACAGAAACAGCGAGATGAAGTACGCAGATTGAAAGAAGAACAGAGGAAACTAGCTCAAGATTCAGAACGTGGAGCAAAATCGGTTATAGAAAATCGCGAGAGAGAGATAGGAAGACTGCAGCAGCAACTTCAAGGTCTCACCAAAGAAAGAGACACAATTAAGCAGCGTGCAGAGAAAGCCGAAAAAGAAGCACAGAAAGCTGGAGAGATCGATAAATGGCGAGCTGCCGTCGAAGCGGAGAAGTCCAAGGCGATCGCTGCAGAAAAAGCCTTATCTGAATGTCAACAGCGCTTGCAATCTTTGGAGAAACAATTCCAGGCGCAGCATCAACAGTTACAGCAGCTACAAGCACGCGGACCGTCCGACGTGCGCGAGGTCCAAAAGCAGCTCGAAGCTGCTCAGGCCGAGGCTCGCGCCCTCGCCACTGAGAGGGAGCGATGCCAGTCGCAGCTCGAGATGCTCGTTCAGGAATTGGAGAAGAGCCAGGTCAGTTGGAGGATCGCCCGGCGACCGATGGCTGTCGGAACACCGTCTGGTTAAATTGAGTTTCCTCACGTCAATCTTTACATTTTCCAGTAGAGATATAAAAAAAAAATGAAACTCGATTGAACCTCAAAACGATTAAGTTGCTTAAATCATTGCACCGGTGTTATCGAGTAGTTTTTGTTTTGGTTTTGTTGTTTAGAGTCATCATCGCGCGTTGTCATGTCGTTGTTGTATAGTAGCATGTCACCCACAGCCTGCGGGGCATCCTCCAACCCCTCATTACAATTATTTGGTATTTTAATTTATTAGTTTCATCATCGCAATGTTTGTGTCCGTGGAAACTTTCATATGAATGTACTATTTGAGAACTGAACTGATAATGCACCTTACATTTCCATGTACCAGCACACTCGTTTGAACGCATCTATTGTGAAATCTTGGTGATGTTCGGTGCGACGGAGTACAATAATGCTTTGTGTTTTATTTACGAAATGTTAATTTTACTGTTTTTCAGTTTTCAGCTGTGCTCGCTACTGTTATGTGTATTCGCAATTTTATACTATCAAATGTTTCGTAAACTATAAAAGGAATTATGGCTGTTTTAAAAAAAAAATCTGTTGCAAGATTATATTTTGTATAAATTTATGCTTCTTTGTCTACATGTCAGTGGCGTTCAGCTTTAAAAGCTTTGGTATTGTTCATTGTAAAGATCGATGGTATTTTTTAGATGCAGCTATTAATGGAATTGTTTCGGTAACAGCTCGATCTCCGCGAAGCGAACAAGAAACTCCAAACAGCTGGTGCTCAGAGCGCGAAGGCTGGCGAAGACGCAGCCCTAGCTAAGAAGCAGATACAAGATGAATTCAAAAAGTTAGATGACGCAAGAAAACATTTCGAAGAACAAAGAAGAGCGTGGGAGAACAAACGGAAAGACGTGGAGGAGAAAGAGAAGTCACTTATGGAATTGGATCGACAGTTAAAGAAGAGAAAAGAGCAAATGGACCAAATGGAAGCTTCATTGAGGAAGGTAAGTCACGTTTGTATCAAAAACTATTATGCCCATTAGACATGTATAGCAAGAAGCACATTGAACGAGGAAGCTCTTCATTGATTAATTTTTACACTCAAATAAAAATGCAATATCTACGTTGAAAGTTTTGATTCAAAAAGTCATGAGTGCTGTAATCATAATACGAGATATTCTCTTCAAGGCTGGCGGCAGCACGGCCGCGGTATCAGAGCTGAATCGCAAGCTGACAGACTCTCAGAAAGATGCGGAACAACTGAAGCAACAATTGGATCAGACTAAAGACGAAGCGAAACGGTTGACAACTGAAACGGAACGGCTTCTGCAGCTGGTCCAGATGTCACAGGAGGAACAAGCACAGAAGGAAAAGCAAATTATGGATTTGCAACAGTTAGTAACGATGTTTCAGATTTTTAGTTGCGTATTTTCCGAGATCCGTGTCTAGAAGCCGACCTACACCTATTTTTATACCTACCTATGCTGATAGACTTGAGAGGCTATTTCAGCTTCGCCTTGGCGTGTATTTGAGCTCTCAAGGCTCAAGCGGAAGTGTTGCTAACACTGGCCCTAGTAAGAGCCGTGCTTCGCAGAATCTACCACCAAATCGGAAACGCGACCCACTGAGAAGATCCGGCGAGAAACTCAGTGGGCTGGGTCTGTGGGTTAATTTACTCGTCGAGCCCTTTGTCGCAAGCGACGGGTTCGACGAGGACGGTGACCGGTGCTTGAGGTACCTAAAAGCACCGTTAGTGGATCGGGAGGATCATTAATGTCGTGTTTAGGGCGACGTCGACTGTTTACCATTCGGTCCGCAGGATCGGGTATGTAGTTACTGGCGGCTACGATGAGAGGGTTCTCGTGTCGTCTCTTCCCTCAAAGCAGAATGTGCAACTTTGGAAGTTTTTTTTTATTTCCCCTGTAGGCAGAGCATACGGCTCATCTGATGGTGAGTGGTTACCGTCGCCCATGAACTTCAGCTATGTTAGAGGCAGAGCTAAGCCACTGTCTACCGTAACTGGTAATTTATTTTCGTTTCCTTCTCTTGTCTGATATATGATTTGCTGTTTCCAGGTCCGTAAGAAACCTCCAAGCCAAATTAAAAAGTCAGCAGCAAGCACAAGCACAAAGAGAAGAGGTAATATCTTCAAACGATCTTATTATAGTCCAACATTAGTCACTAACAAAACTATAATAATAAAAAATGTAATATTAAACTGTTGCGAGAACCTCATTCTTACATACTTGTCTTAAATTTTCGTGTGCCTTATACATAATTAGAGCTAGCTGCCTTAACGGTATCATATCGAGTTCAATATTTTCATAATATTATTTCCATAGTTTCAACTATTTAATACTTTTCATGGCGTACGACTCTTCGTATGAAAACGCGAAATTTAGCTGTAGGTATATGTAATTAAAATTAAATATAAATGTAACTAATTAGGAATTTCGTGAACCGGCAATCAGTGCGTGCATAATTGTAAATAGACACGCTTTAACAAAAATCGACTTCAGATAGAAAAAAAAAAGATATTCCCAAACCAAATTAATATACACTAAAAACAATAATCATCGAAATCGGTTGGCGTGATATTGAGTATTGAGTTATTCATATATTTGTCGCGCATATACTTAATGCAAATTTAAGACTTATATGTTTTTCTCATGGATACCATTATCAGAACTGGACTACACGGGAAGCGTCAGCTTTCCAATAAAAAAAGAATCATTAAAATCGATTCATCCAGTCAAAAGTTATGAGGTAATAAACATTAAAAAAAAACATACAGTCAAATTGAGAACCTCCTCCTTTTTTTAAGTCGGTTAAAAATTAAAAGTTCAATAGTCGCGTGTCGTTTAGCGGTCGGGCCCAACCTTCACTTCCCTCTGGTGGTAGGACCTCTTGTGAGTCCGCACAGGTACCACCGCCCCGCCTATTTCTGCCGTGAAGTAGTAATGCGTTTCGGCTCGAAGGCTGGGGCAGCCGTTGTAACTATACTTGAGACCTTAGAGCTTATATCTCAAGGTGGGTGGCGGCATTTAGGTTGTAGATATCTATGGACTTCGGTAACCACTTACCACCATGTGGGCTGTGAGCTTCTACCAATCTATACAATAAATAAAAGTTTATTAGCGTTACATTGCGTTGCCGTGTTAACAATTACTATAAGCACACGTCTTTATTTTGGATAATGGTTCTCGTAGACTACCACTACACATAACCACACATATGTGCTTAGTGCGAGTTTTTTAACGTTCTCGATAGCGTAAAAGTTAACCCAATTTTGTATGCAGTTGGAACAGCGCCTCTAGCGGCAAACGTAGGCAACCGATCCCACTCCATACAAATATGAGCTAACTTTTACGCTATCGAGAACGTTAAATAAATAATAGTTTAAAAAACTAAAAAACACGCTTTATATAAAATTCAACTAAAAAATAGAAAATAAATTTTAATAAATTTAAATTGAAAATAGTGTAAAATATATTTTATTGTAAAAAAAAGCGTGGGGTGCATGGTGTTATCTATGTATATGTATAAAAAATAATTGCTGTTCGTTAGTCTCGCTAAAACTCGAGAGCGGCTGGACCAATTTGGCTAATTTTGGTCTTGAATTATTTGTGGAAGTCCAGAGAAGGTTTAAAAGGTAGATAAATATGAAAATGTTCGGAATGAAATAAAAATAACAATTTTGTTTTTCCTTTGATGACTCCCGCGTCGGACGGATTTATTTTGTTTGTTTTAAGTTTATTTCATACAAAAGTTTAAGTATTTTATTTATCGATTGAGGCACTACGAAGTCTGCCGGGTCAGCTAGTTAGTTATAAATATTTTTCTGAGAGATATGTGTAGAAGAATTATTATTTCAATAATACCTTAAAAAGCACCCTACGCTTGAAGCTAATACAAAGCGTGTAAAAATTCGCACTAAGCACACTGAATAGTAAGATATAACCATCGAATATAAATGATGGCACTCAATTTGTGTTGCTATTAAGTGTCCTATAAGTATATACTAATATTTAATACATTATTAACATGACTAACCTTTTATTGTTTCATGCTTCCCACCAGGCCGGACCCGCTGGCTTCCTCAAAAGCTTTTTCTAAGTTGATCTTCGCACCAAGACTGTCGTTATTTATTTTTTTTGCTTTTTTCATTTATACATTTTCTTTAACCGTCTCTTATATTCTAAGTGTAACTCTTAATGCTCCACGTCTTTCTATATATATAAAAAAAAAACATATAGTTTTACTTAAATACGTACATTGACGTTTTAATTCGATTAAACACTTGAAGATCGTCCGTGTATACTGTATCATGTTAGAACGATGTAACCAGCACATAATAATGCAATTAGTTTAGCTGTAAAAGGTTAAGCAATGTTTAAAATTTGTCGTGTTCAGTGGAAAGTTATTTGTAAGGAACAATTATTAATGGAAAATACCGTATTGTTTAATACTGTTAAGTATTCATGTAACCTAGATGGAAGAAGTGAGTTTATCCACTAATAATAGTCTATGTTACCCGGCTTTGAAACTTGTTAAGCGTATATCAATTTAAATCTATTTAATAAAACTAATTATACGTACGTTGACCTTTCTCGATTGATTTTATTTTCGTTTTTTTTTTTGTATTCGTAAAGTTTTGTTATATTAATTAGTAAATGAATTGTTCGTTTTTGTTTTTGATTTTTTTAATTATTATATTTTTTGTTTGTTTGTTTCCGTCTATCCCCTTTCGGTAGGACCTGAATAGAGCGAGACAAAGCGAAATAGCGGCTATTGAGGATTTAACAAAGACGTTGTCAGAGAAAGATCGTTTGAAATCAAAATTAGAAGAGAGTAAAATGAAGATAATAGATCTGGAGATAGAACTAAACGAATCATCTCTAATACTCTCGGAAGTATTGAAAATATCCGATAGCCAGGAGCTAACGAATATAAAGAGGAGCAAAAGCTTTTTCGAATTGCAAAAGAGCGGTAAGGTAGTGGATAGGTTAGATAAAGGGAAGTTCAGTAGGAGTGACAATGCATTAGACGCTATTTATTACGGTAAGAATGCAAAAAACGAATCTCCCAACATAAGTAAGCTAATGAGGAAAGTCACTAATTTAACTAAAGAGATAGCCATGAAGAATTCCAAAATAATCGAACAGCAGAGATGCATATCTATATTAGAAGAAGCGTTAAGAGAAAATAATAATATAGCTGAATTCGAGCAACTGCTGGCCGTGGTCAGGAGTAAGGACGAGAGGATTAATGAATTAGAACAGTTCGTCAATGAAAACTGTGGGACCCAAACGACCGGTAGCAAAGACAATAGGATATTAGAACTTGAAGAGGCTCTGAAGGAATCCTTTATGGTGGCGGCGGAGAGAGAAAAAGTATTTTATAACGAAGAACAGCGACGAATCGAGACTATAAACAAGGTAATGAATTAAATTATATTAGTACACTTTGACAAAGGAGCTTTAAGCCTTTTGTGAACAAAAAAATAGATTGAATTAACAGCTATAAATTTATAGCAAATGTTTCTTTTAATGCCTACCTTCTTTACGGTCAATATATTTAAAATAAAAATACCCCCCTATTTAACAATAAAATTAAAATAACCTCGATTATATGACTTCATGTTCTGTTCACAAAACTATTCTCCTCCTTATCAAGGTCCCTTTGCGCCTCTCAATCACCTTTGCGAAATGTTAGGGTTGGTGTCTTTCTTTTTGTCTGAAAATATCTTCTCAATGACCAATTATATTGCATTATTATGCTCGCATCCCGACTAATAGTGGGTCAAAGTGACCACAGTCTATATGGCCTACATGGACCCTAGGGACAGTAATATGTACCGTAGATTGGGGGGAACAGGGAATAGAGGTAGAATAGAGACAAATCTGGGATGTCACAATACCCTTGTTGAGTGGTTAGATTTAGCTCTGTTGAACTGAAAATGACTTTTAAGAATATTAAATAGTTTAATTTAGTCATCAAAGTTTTTACATTACCTACCTACCTAACATCTATATAGTGCCAGCCTTATCGAAAAACTCTATCGTCCCCATACGTAACCTGATTCACCCCAAAATCCAAGGTGAATCGGGTCAAGCTAGTTTTTTCAGTTTTTGTGTATATCTTGTAATGAACTATGTATAAAAACGCATAGTAAATAAAAATTTAAGCCTCCGGAACCATTATGATCTCTGTTTTAATAATATTATAACCCCAAAAACAAAACCATAAAAATCAATGTAGAAACATAAAAAGTGTCCTGATTCCTCTCATTTTACGATACGTATTTTTCTAGAAAGAATCTAATCTCTTCGTATCCAATTACTTAACTTTCTCATGTCCGAATGTAAATTTTTAGATGAAGAAAATGGAGCAGAGGATACTGTCGTTACAAAACGCTTCGGCGCTGAGTTGTGAGACGTGCACTTCCGTTTTGAAGCGGATGAAGCGTCTAGAAGATTCTTTGGAGGATTGTCAGAAGAAAAGGGATAATGCATTAAGACAGTTGGCACATGTAATGTACGTAGCCTATGTTCCGATTTTTTTTTATGGCTTAGTTGGTTGGACGAGCTCACAGCCCACCTGGTGTTAAGTGGTTACTGGAGCCCATAGACATCTACAACGTAAATGCGCCAAACACCTTGAGATATAAATTCTAAGTTCTCAGTATAGTTACAACGGCTACCCCACCTTTCAAACCGAAACTGCTTCACGGTAGAAATAGGCAGGGTGGTGGTACTTACCCGTGCGGACTCACAAAAGGTCACACAAGCCACCGCATAAGAGGTCCTACCACTAGAGAACCGAACCTATATATCGAGGAATAAAGCGCTATTTGGCTTAAACGACATTTCGCTTAATACGCGACATTTGCAATTAAAACTCCGCTTTATTTGTTATTAGCATTAAAAGTTCAATGTTTTTAAACTATTGCATAGCTTTTATCGCGGGCTTTGAGTGCGGCGACCGAATCAAGAAATTCCGTAATGAAAATAAAACCTAACACCCCCACTCCGCCTGCCATGTAGCTCGCATTCAACACATTCACATGTTGCGCTTGTGTATTGTTTGTGAATAAGCGCGCGGCGTGACGTCGCTGCATGCACATCATGAAAAGTGCCCATCTCTCTCTCGCGCGATCTAGCTTATGAGTGTGAAGGGGACAGTTAATGTTATGCTTTTGTTAATGTTTATAAATATAGCGTGGTCTTACTTTATTATTGTTTTAATATTAAATGATTTTTGTCTAATTATAACAGCATAAGTTGATAAAAAATGCTATGCAATAGCTTTACCGCGGCAGTCCCCGAGTGCCACTCGTTAATTTTTTTTAATTAAAATCCCCTCTAATTTGGTACTTTTAGTTGGGTTATTGATTGGTGTACCTATTAAGGATTGGTTTTCTTTCTTGTTCGCATATAAATAGTCTTCAAGAACTAAAAGTGTTCTAACCATTGAATACAAATGAAGCGGTAGGTAGGTATATCAGGAATATGTTTGAAATTTTCCTAAAATAAAAAATCATAGAATCTGTCGACATAATGATATGATTCTCGAATTTCAGCCAAGAGATCCTGGAGGCCACGATCAGCGAAAAGGACTCTCATATAGCAGAACTTGAGATGAAAGGGGTGCTGGACGAGAACGAGACGAAGCTATACGACTCGCTGAAGAGCGAAAGGGACAGGCTGCTCAATCGACTTAAGATAGAGGTAATCGCATTGAATGTATGTATGCTGGGCTTGGGGATAAATAAAAAATCTAACGAAGTACAAGTTAACATTGTATTAGCACTTAGAACAACGAAGTGTTTTAAACAACATTTTAAAATTCTCAATTCGCTTCTTCCACTTCGCTTCAGGTGATCCGTTCGCTGTTTCGCTTCGAGTAGTTCCCATTACTGACTGACTGCGTGCCACCTCTACAACACTTTTACAGTCGATATCTCATCCCTTGAATTATCGAGAATATTCCACACATCTCTAGTATTGTGTTTCCACTATCTGAAGATAAATGGCGTTGTCTGACTTCTGGAGCGTTCTAGGTGCTACTAGATCCTTCGATATTCGTTCGACTATTCGGCGATAGATGGCGTTACCCCTACCGGCGTTACAACACCAACGTTTCACATAAGCCACAATTTAATGGCATAAGCACCACGTGTTGCTGAGGCTAAAGTTTAAGTGAAATTTATTTCGTGGTAAACGCAGTAAAGTGAAATCTAATAGTTCTTGCTTTATTAATTTTTGGTATTAGCATAGCCGGCCGCGTGTTATTTAGAAACATAAAAACCTTAGCCACAGCAACGTGTGGCCGGGTCTGCTAGTAGATAATAAAACTAAGCTAGTGGTGGTAGGACCTCTTGTGAGTCCGCGCGCGTAGGTACCCCCACCTATTTCTGCCGTGAAGCAGTAATCAAATCAAATCAAATCAAAAATTTTTTATTCAACATAAATGAAAGTACATACTTGTTGAACGTCAAAAGAACTACCGCCAATTCACAAGAACTAGCCTCCGTCCTGAGAAGAATTGGCAAGAAACTCAGCGGGCATGTCTTTTTTTTTTTTAATATGAAATTATTATTTGTTTATTTTTTAATATTAGATTATTATTATTTTTAAATATGATTTTTTTACAATGAGTATTATAACGTAACAATAACTACGATATTGAAATGCCCGGAGCGAGCAACTCATTCCCACTTTGTGCAATCTTCTAGATAATCATTGACTTTATAGTAAGCTTTATTGCACAGATGTTCTTTAATAGGGTTTCTGTCAATCTGTAATAGGTTCTGAACATCTTGTAGGATTTTGTTGTACAGGCGCACAGACAAACACCCGAATGAATTTCGTATCTTATGTAACCTACTCATCGGCACAACAAGCTTGTGTTTGTTCCTAGTATTTCTATTATGTATGTAATGCGTTTCGTTTTGTAGGGTAGGGCAGCCGTTGTAACTATACTTGAGACCTTAGAACTTATATCTCAAGGTGGGTGGCGCATTTACGTTGTAGATGTCTATGGGGTCCAGTAACCACTTAACACCAGGTGGGCTGTGAGCTCGCCCAACCATCTAAGCAATAACAAAAAAAAAGTAAAGTAATGGCGTTTAATTCTTCCCTTCCAGAATGAAAGGATCGTTGATATTGAACGCGACTTGTACCAGGCGATCATGAGAGCTGAGGAGTGCGGGTCCGTACCGGTCGGCCTCACGCTGGCAGACGACCTCATAGGCATCGACGAAGACAATGTAATTGTCTGGGTAACTACGTCAGGAGGTATTTAGAATGGTTTGGTTTTGCTCGTACGAAGTAACTGCGCGACGATGCGATCGTTGACGTAATGCATCAGTGTGCTTAGTGAGAGTTTTTTAACGTTCTCGATAGCGTAAAAGTTAACTCAGATTTGTATGGAGCTGGAACAGCGCCCCTAGCGGCAAACGTAGGGAAGCCAGGCACACAGGTTGATTCTCAGACGATTAACATTTTTCCTAATTCCGTCGAGAATTTAATAAATAATTGTAAATAGACATGCTTTAACAAAAACCGACTTCGAATAGAAAAAAAAAAGATATTCCGAAACAAAATAATATACACTAAAAACAATGATCATCGAAATCGATTGGCGTCATATTGAGTTATTCATCTATTTATCTCGCACGTACTTAATGCAAATTTAAGACTTATATGGTTTTCTCATGGATACCATTATCAGAACTGGACTAAATTGAAATGGGACACAGGAAGCGTCAGCATTCTAATAAAAAAAGAATCATCAAAATCGATTCCAGTCAAGAGTTATGAGGTACCAAACATAATAAAAAAAACATAGTCGAATTGAGAACCTCCTCCTTTTTTGAAGTCGGTTAAAAAGAAGCATATCGATCTTAAAAATAGATCGGGTTCATTTTAAGAGATACACCCGACTTAGCCCGATTCATATTTTTTTCTACGATAAAGAAAAATCAGGGTTATTAATAATGCAGGTTATAAATTGTTTTTGGACGAACTTTAATTAGAACCCATTCGGTCATTTTTGCGTGATCGAGTAACTATAAAAATTGATAGCTTAGAATTCATATCTCAAGATGATAATATGTGACGGCATTTACATTGTAGATGTTTATGGGCTCCGATATCACTTAACACCAAGTGGGCCGTGAGATTGACAACATATCTAAGCAATAAAAAAAAGATAAAATATCCAAACAAAATAAACTTTCACATTTGTTTTGGATTAAACATTCTGATGTAACTAAGATTTAGGAAAAACTAGTCAAAATGTGTGGCATCTTATGGTGATTGGTGGTAGGACGTCTTGTGAGTCCGCGCGGGTAGGTACCACCGCCCTGCCTATTTCTGCCGAGAAGCAGTAAGTAAGTAAGCTTCGGTTCAAAGGTTGCGACAGAAATTGAGACTTGAAAGATTTTAATATTAACACAAACAATAATATAACAATTTCCAATGCACTGTTGACAATCTCCACAAATTTTCGTAATTAAATTTAGGATGCTTTTCGTGAATTCCATCTGCAATGAATATCCTCTACTAGACATTAAATTTTGTGTGTGCGTGTGTGTGTGTTTTGCGAATCACATTATTTAACCGGAACCTTATTTAATAATTTTGAAACAATAACAAATTGTGTGCATAAGGTATATTTTTTTAATTGTTTTTTTTTTATATGAATAATCTTAACTTTATTTAACTTCGATAAAATTACATACTTAACGAGCTATGAAAGGCTATTTGGTTTAAGCGATATTTGGTCTTTGTAATTTATTTTATTTTATTTGGTATTAGCTAACCCGGCAGACTTCGTAGTGCCTCAATCGATAAATAAAAGACCTAAGCTTTTAAAATAAACATAAAACAAACAAAAGGAATACGTCCGTTATTTTTATTTAATTCCGAGCATTTTCATATTTATCTACCTTTTAAACCTTCTCTGGACTTCCACAAATAATTCAAGACGAAAATTAGTCAAATCGGTCCAGCCGTTCTCGAGTTTTAGCGAGACTAACGAACAGCAATTCATTTTTATTATAGATTAGCATCACCTTTTTTTAATTGAACTTCAATCAAATTTACTTAAATTCAAATAGCTGAAGAAGTTTTATTTTGTTATGATACTTTATCCATGTTATGTTAAATATTAAATGGCTCTCAATGGTCAGTAACGCGTTAGTATTAAGGGTGGGATGTAAGTTGAATTAAATTCCGGCTTGGATTCTCAATTCTAAGCACAGCAGTACTCTCTTTAAAGGGACCCTGATGGCCACAGATAAATCGGATATTTAGAGCCAAATACAACGAACTATATTCGGTTAATTATAAAGGACTTAGGTCAGCCCGAATTAAATAATGCGTCACTACAATAACTTGTATTTATTGACACTTTTCACATACGGAATAACTTACCGTAAATAATACACATAAATTGGTTATAGCAACTCAAGCACTCAACAAAAATGTTTACGGGCGTCAGCCACTAGATGGCTTCACTTCGATTAGTTTCTCGTTGCTCGTGTAGATGGCAGTAACATTAACTATCCTATATTTTATTTTTAATGAAGGTTTTTGTAAATTTTTAGAAACGACTAATCGATTAATTATTATCTTTATTTTCTGTGTTTAGTTACAAAACGAAATGCCTTAACTTTAACAACATATAAGTTTAGGGGCATCCGCTACAAGATGTCGATAGTTTCCATACAAAAAAAACATTTGTCGTAAAGTATCTCGAATTCAGGGTCCTGATAATTTACAATGATCGTCTTTACACTCTCAATAAATGTTGGTACCCCAAATGCGTCGCTCGATCGCCCCACCACAACGGAATGGTGGTGCGATAGACAACGTCACTAGATGGGTGGAGTCAACCCAATCAATTCAATAGTCCATTAAAATTATTATTAAAATAAATTCATTTAAGTAATTAAATAAATTCATCTGAAGTACTATTGTCAGCAATAATTAGATTAGTTTTACACATAAGCGCGATTTGATCAGACGCTTTACATATTATTGAGATATCATAATAATCCAATTGACAACGTCATCGCATATGCGTAGCAACTAAGTCTACACGACAGCACTAATTTATGGATTATTATCGCAACTTATATTATGCACTTATAAATACTATTTAACAATAATCACTAATCAGTTTATTTATTGAAAACAGGGAGAGGACATCCCGGGAACGTTACTGTGACTACGGATAAAGCTAAGTCGAAAACCTAAAAATGTTTTTGTGGTCTTAGCGTCATTATAGCACGACCCATAGCCCATCCGCTACCTTGCCATCGCTTATCACTAATGCATAATTTAAAAAAAAAAAACAAAAAAAAAACATCCACACGCCCAAAAATCGATTTACGCGCCTCAAAGTGTAAATAACCTCTTTTCGTTTATAATTTTTTTTTCCTTTTTTTTTACGACAACGTCATGTCATTATTTAATTACGGATATAGACTTTATATTTGATTAGATACGTGATTATTACATATATTTTAAACTGTATTTTATTATGTCATATATTTTATTATGTTATGTTAGTTGTGAATGAAAATAAACAATTCTAAGAATACGGTTCTGTTTTAAATATAGATTTATGATTGTGTTTGATTGCGCTGTATGTAATAATGATTATAATCGTTACCATAAGACAAATTGAGAATAACCTATGTTGTATTTTATAAGTTTGTTATAATCCTATTAAATATTTGTTACAGTTGTGAAATAAATACTTATAATGATTTGTTATACTAATTTTTAAATTTACGAAGCCCACATATAAATTCGATTATCAAACTAAATCTGACAGTGTTGGCTTTAGCGACGCTTTTACCGACGAACTTAAGTTATTGGGAATATTAATTTATTTTAATAATAATAATAATAAAACATATCATGCACAAATGAGTTGTTTCAAAGTTTACATCATATCATTACTGTATTAATGTTATTTAGCTGAATTAAAATAAACAATATTTTGTTTTCAAAGATCAAAAGATAATTCAATTTATTTGTTGTATTTTATAAGTGCACAATAAAAAAATGATTTGTACTCTTTCATTTTTGACTTTTAAGGAAATATTGTGAGAATTTAATAATATTTGTTTCTTTTGTTTAACAAAACCTATTGTTCTAAACTCATTATTACTGAAATATTAGACGTATTGTGCACTATATATATTTATCAAGTAAACACCTTTAAGACACATTGTGAATCATAGGATAAATAATTATTGAGTGATTATTTTTGTGAAAATTAACGCTTAAATGTCAAAAGCACTGCCTTATTTTAACAAATAAGATTTCGAGTTTGAAAAGAGCATGCCTAGTTTGCTTAGCAGGTTAGCACTTCACTCCCTTCGGCTGTTCGTGTGTGAAATGTGAGAAAAGTATCGGGAAAACGTGACGTCACTTCCGAAAATGGCAGCTATTTTTTTTTTAAACTATAATACCTACCCACAGAACTGTATATTAAGAAAGTCTGAACGTTTTCATTTCATACATTTTGCATTTTACAAAACAGTATTGTACTTTTATATAAAAAAAGATATATTTAGCGATCATGTGAATCCAATTTGTAAATTTATGAAATAAATTATTAAATTTTATAAACGATATAACTTTAACCAGAGATTCTCGTTTTCAAGACACCAACATAGTGAATTAAGAAATTTTAAAATAAAACCACATGTTTACAATAAAAATATTGATTTTTATAAATTTATAAATTGAATTTGAAATCGCTACCTATATGAAATAAAAAAAATTACATCGAATGTAAAATATTTCAGTTTTAAATGCGCCCGTACTATTTTGATTTGAGTAACAGAATCTTTTTATTATAAACATCTTTTAAAAAACATGTATACCTACTTAAAATTTCAAAAAAGTTATCCGAAACATTTTCTATTTTACCTCTATTTCTGCATTTGATATTAGAGCGATATTTAAAAAAAAACATTTTTTCGGTTTAATTAAACTAATAACAAAATTGCTACAAAAATACTTCGTCGCCATCTTGAAGGAACTACGTCATATCACTGCCAACATTGAGACCGATGCGACTAATCTTGAACCCGGAGAATGTTTTTTTTTTCTTTTCCAAAATAAAATTCTATTGTGGAAAATAATTAGAAGTAAATACGTACTACACGAAACTAAGTTAATCGTCTACAGCTTGTGTGTAGTTTGTTTGTATTTTAGAAAAGTATAAATAATAGGGGAACTCCTAATTTGTATAACCAAATGAATTAAACCTAAATCCGGTAGACATAGCCAGAGAGAAATATAGGTTATCCAAAACCGATCTGTCTCTAATACCTAGTACCTATATTTTTAATTTAAGATGAAATATAATTATACTTTCATTCACTCATATCACACAAAAGAATTAGGTTTCAATTTGATGTTTAATTACGAATCGATTTATGACAATATTGTATTCTCTCGACAATTGTAACAGCCCTGATTGTGGGTGATAGTGAATCAGAAATCTAGATTTAAACGCTCTGGCATTTTAGTTTACAACTAACCTTAGATGAATGAACGTTTTCAAGTTTATACCAATATCGGAAACTTTCAAAATCATTCAGTTAATCATCTAAACACATATGAGCACAATACATTAACCTCACTACTTTCTTGGAATCATTAATGACAAGATTGACAAGTAATAATGACGAATTTGAATGAATATTACCAAGGGAATTAAAAAACACCACAACAAAACTTGCACGGTGTTTTGTCTCTTTCGATCGTGCATAAAACTAGCTGTCAACGATAGAGACAACACTTTTATGCCACGTTTATTGGTAAATTTTTTTTGCTGCCTATTACAAGTGTCAAGAAATAAAGATTTTGACTTTCAAACGCGTTCAAAACAAAATTTGAAGATTTTAAGCTTGAAAATATAATACAAAAATATAAATAAAATACTAAATAATGAAAATTGATAATACTTTTGCTTGTGTTGGAAATGTAGGTAATTTAAACCTTCTGCAACCAAGCCTAATCTGCCGCTTAAAAATAATCTCTTTTTTACTTTCCAAATCAGCTGGTATATAAATTACAAGACGCTTTAGATACAAAAATGAAAATGCCGGAACTTTTGAATCTGTGTTCAACATTATCTCATTGAATCCTTCCACCATCTGTAACATCGTTTCAAATATGAATATTTGGGTATTTATTGCAGCTACAAGCAATATATTCGTTAAAATGTTTACTGAAAGGTTCTTAACACAGAAAATTTTCTGATAGGTACAAATTAAATTCATTGGTAGCCCTGTCCAGCAATGCATGCCTTTGCATTTATATTTTTTAAATAAAGCGTTCACGAGTGCTCACTTTTGGCGGCCTGCTAGCTATAGACATTGATAATAGCATGTTCAGTTCACCATTACCTCAAAGCAAACTTATGTATAGCAATGTTTTGATTGAATTTTCTATGTTAAGAACTTATACTTATTTAGTCGAAATAACAATAATTAAAAATGGTATTATATTAAAATATAAACTTAGTTACATACTTGTTACGTATTGTAAGCTGTGGGATCGTATTGTTTCACATGTAACGGACGCTGAATAAAAAAAAAAAATACATGTTCTTTGAATATAATATCTTCATATACGGAGTTTTATGTTTTATTCTTAATTCTTTGACTGATTCATCATTATCATCAGCCTAATTACGTCATCGTTGAGCTTAAGCGTCTCCTACTACGCTACTTAGACAATATTATCATTACAAGTCACGCAACAATGATAAAAATTCATAAACAGTAAAATATTTGAGGNAAAAAAAAAATACATGTTCTTTGAATATAATATCTTCATATACGGAGTTTTATGTTTTATTCTTAATTCTTTGACTGTTTCATCATTATTATTATCAGCCTAATTACGTCATCGTTGAGCTTAAGCGTCTCCTACTACGCTACTTAGACAATATTATCATTACAAGTCTCACTAACAATGAAAAAAATTCGGAGTAAAATATTTGAGGTTAGGTTAAAAAAAAAAAAAAAATGTTAGGTTTAAAGGCTTGTCAGAATTGTCAAAGAGGTTGCCCCTATAATCTGTGGCATCAGCCTAATTCGGTCATCATTGAACTTAGCGTCTCCTACGACGCTGTATAGACAATGTTATTATCACACGTCACTTAAAATTTTCATCAGGAGCAAAATATTTGAGGTTAGGTTAAATTTGGTTAGAAGCCGATCAGTTATCATCAGTTCATACCAGAGGACCGAATGGTAAACAGTCGCCGTCGCCCCAAGCACGTCATTTCAGATCCTCCCGATTCATTATCGGTGCTATAGATACCTCAAGTCACTGTATTAAATTAACCTACCATTAATTAACCCACAGACACAGCCCAGTTTCTCGCGGGATCTTCTCGGTGGGTCGCCTTTCCGATCCGGTGGTAGATTCTACGAAGCAGGCTAGGGCTGGTATTAGCAACGTCCCAGGTTAGAGCCCCGTGAGCTAACTTACTGGTATTTCATCTACTGAAAAACCACTATACCGAGAGCTCAGTCGGTGTCTAAGAGTCCACCTAGATGTTATTACAAATGGCCTCCCAAGCCTCTACACAACGCCCCCATTTTTTTCTGGGTCTCTTACCGCTCCCCGCTTAGGGCCTTCAGCGTTCACTAGGAGACGTTATCGCCCACTTTGGGAAAGGCTGGTATAGATGAACTCTGCTCCGCTTACAGAAGTGCGAAGATAAAAACGAGATGATAGGATCATCTCAAATAATACCACAGACACCCACAAAACATTTAGAAAAATTTCGAAGACGAAATTTCTCCGTAGACCCAGAAGTATCCTGAAGCTATTTTTGAAGCTTGCACAGTACCTTAGACAGTAAGTACTATGTGGTCAATCAGCATTTTTCATATGAAAATACTCCACGGGAAAGTTTCATTTTCAGACAGATTTTTCATATTTATTTATTATCATAATAGAGGTGCCAAATTGTAGAATGCTTACAGATATTAACCAGTGCGAGTATTATAATAAGGACAAGTTTTCTTCTTTACTTTGGTATTTGATATTGGACGATTTTTATTTTAATGAAACAACGCCACCTATTGTTCAGTAGTCGAACGACTACGAATGAGAGAAACACAAAATCAAGTTGATGGTATTTGTTGCTATTTAAATCTACTGAACTATAGATGTCGCTGTATACGAAACCGTGACTGTAGTTGTTTTTATGGTGTATGTTTTTAGATTTAAATTGAACAGAGCATTCCCAATTGGCCAATGAAAATAAATTTCGTTACAATCAGTACTTTTACAATTGTG